GCGGAGAAGTCCGACAATCTGCTGTCTGCAAGCTGGGGACGCAGGACAGCCGGTGGTATAAGCCCTGGAGTTTGATAGCCAGAGACCCTGGTGCTCTGATGTCCAAGGGCAGGAAAAGATGGATGTCTCAGCTCAAGAAGAGAGACAGAGAGACATTGCCCTTCCTCGGGCTTTTTGTTCCATTCAGACGCTCAATGGACTGGATGATGTCCGCCCATGTTGATGACGGTGGATCTCTTTACTCAGTCTACTAAAATCAAATGCTAATCTCTTCCAGAAACACCCTCACAGACACACCCAGAAACAATGCTTTACCAGCTATCCAGGCATCCCTTAGTCCAGTCAAGTTGACACATAAAATTAACCATCACAGGCAGTTCCTCAAAAAATTAAAAATAAAATTATGATATGATCCAGCAACTCCACTTCTGGGTATACAATCAAAGAATTGAAATCAGGGTCTTGATGAGATATTTGTAAATCCATGATCATAGTAACATTTTTCACAATAGCCAAAAGGTGGAAGCAACTCAAATGCCCATCGATGGTTGAATGAATACACAAATGTGGTATATCCATATGATGGAATATTATTCAGCTTCAAAGAGAAAGAAAATTCTGACACATGCTATAGCGTGGATGAACCCTGAAAACATTACATTAGATGAAAAAAGATATTCACAGGGGGCTGGCCCTGAGGTCGAGTGGTTAAGTTCACGTGGTCCACTTCGGTGTACTGGGGTTCACCAGTTGGGATCCTGGGTGCAGACCTACATACCATTCATCAAGCCATGCTGTGGTGGCGTCCCACATAGAAGAACTAGAATGACCTACAACTAGGATACACAACTATGCACTGGGGCTTTGGGGAGGGAAAAAAAGAGAGAGGAAGATTGGCAATAAATGTTAGCTCAGGGCCAGTCTTCTTTACCAAAAAAAGTATACTTCAAAAACACAAAACAAGATGGGCCTGGTGGTGCAGTGGTTAAGTTTGCATGTTCTGCTTTGGTGGCCCGGAGTTCCCTGGTTCAGATCCTGGGTATAGACATGGCTGTGGCAGGCATCCCACATAGAAAGTAGAGGAAGATGGGCACGAATGTTAGCTCAGGGCCAGTCTTCCTCAGCAAAAAGAGGAGGATTGGCAGCAGATGTTAGCTCAGGGCCAATCTTCCTCAAAACAAAAACAAAAACAAAAAAAAACAGTGCTGAGAAAAGAAAAGAAATAATGTATTTACAAAAAGACAAATACCGTATGATCCCACTTACATGAAGTATCTAAAGTAGTAAAATTCATAGAAACAGGAAGTAGAAGCCTGGTGGCCAGAGGCTTGGAAAAGGGAGAAATGGAGATCGGTGCACATTGATGAGAATATATCCAATCCTACTGAACGGGATGCTTAAAATGGTTAAGATGGTAAATTTTATGTTGTGTGTATTTGATCATAATTTTTCAAAAAGATCTTGAGCAATCATATCTCTTTGACAGTTTTACACTTTAAAGTTATTTCAGAGTGGGGCGGGCTGCCTAGTGCTGTTGGTCCATGTATTTGCTGGCATATGCCGCATGCCTAGTTCTCTCGCGTATTTTGTGATTTTGGATTGTGAGCTCATTCAAGACTTGCTCTGTGAGATCTGAGTTGAGCGACGTCTCTCCAGAGAAGCTTCGTCTTTGCTTTGGCCAGAAGCCCCAGGGATGTCACAAGCCCAACCACGGTGCTGCTGATTGCTCAGCTTGGGAGTACTTCGACCACCCAGGGTGATTTCATGAACATTCCACATGAGCCTGGTGTGGTGTTTACACAGTTTTCAATAGAGAATCATTTTTCTTCCATCCAGAGCCCAAACAGAAACAGGAAAATCTCTTTGAAGTTTTTTTTAGTGCAGTTTGGTGGATTTTTTTTTTATTATGGTGAAATACACACAGCGTAAAGTTTACTATTTTAGTCATTTTTAAGTGTACAGTTCAGTGGCACTAAGTTCATTCACATCGTTGTGCAAGCATCTCCACCATCCATCTCCAGCACTTTTTCATCCTCCCAAACTGAGACTCTGTCCCCATTAAACACTAACTCCCCATTCCCCCCAGCCCACGGCTACCACCATTCTACTTCCTGTTCCTATGAATTTGCCTCGTCTAGATCCCTCATCTAAGTGAGATCACCCAATATCTGTCCTGGTGTGTCCTGCTTCTTTTACTTAGCAGAGTGTTTTCATGGTCCATCCATGGTGTAGCATGTGTCAGAATTTCCTTCCATTTTAAGGTTGAATAATATTCTGTTGTGAGTGGATTAGGATTTTAAACACCAGGCTTTCAATAAAGTTGTGACCCCTGAGCTTCACCTTGAACCATATGTCCCCATCTCAGTGGCACCAGATCCCAGGAAGCTGCATGGCCATTTCACAATTTCCACTCAGAGTTTTCCTTCATTCTCGGGTTTTCTTCCTTCCCATCCCCTCTCTTTCTCTGAACTTTCTTTCCACCTCCCTTCCTTTTGCTTTTCTTTCTTTTTTTTGGGCGGGGGGAGGAGATTTCTCTTTCTTCTTAAAAGCTCACTCATGCATTTAGAAGAATGTGTGAAAGGAAGCAAGATAGCAGCAGGGGCTACAGAATGGAACTTTGGGGAGCAGGAGTAATTTTGATCTAATTTCAAACTTAGAGAAAAGTTTTAAGACGTGTACAAAGAACTTGGTGTATCCTCTACCGGAGCTCCCCAATTATCACTATTCCTGTCCCCCCGTACGCTTTATCACTCACTCTCTATCTCTCTATATTATTATATATTTACATTTCCAGAAACATTGGAGAAAACACTGGAGATATCATGCCCTTTTGTCCTAAATACTTCAGTGTGTATTTGCTAAGAACAAGGACATTCTTTGTAATAATCACAACGCAATTCAAAATGAGAAAATTCAACATGGATAAATTACTATTGAATGTACAGAACTCATTCAAATTTCATCAAGCACCTTATTAATGTCCAGGATGTCACCTGGATTGCTCAATGAACTGTATTTCGTCATGCTGTCTCTCTGGTCTCTTCATCGGAAACGTTCCTCTCTTTTTGTCTTTCTTGACCTTGATATTTTTGAAGAGTCAAGGCCGGTTGTTTTGCGGAAGTCCTTCATTTGGGATTTGCCTGATGTGGCCTCGTGATTAGATTCAGGTTAGGTAGCACAGTTTCTTAATCTTTCCAAATTCCACTACCTCCCCCCGAGTCCACAAAAATCCCCACGTACAGCAAGCAGGACAGACAAAGCTGGCAAACACAAACTTCCACAAAACCAACTGACGCTGGAGCCCCACGGGCCGAAATATAAGTGGATGGGGCCAAACCAGTACCAGCACAGGGAGAAAAAGAAAGAAGCAGCAGTGTTGTGAAGATTGAAGATTTCCTCCCTGGCCTCACCCCTAGGCGGGAGGCTGCCTCACAGCTGAGAAACACAGATGTCAAATCGTCTTTGCGCGCGCGCGAGCGTGTGTGTGTGTGTGTGTGTGTGTGTGTGTGTGTGTGTCTGAGAGAAAGAGAGAGAGAGAGGCCCCAGGCAGTAGGTGGGTGTAGGGGCTATGGGATGGTTGGAAGATGCTGTGGTGCTCTGGGTCCTCAGATACCTCACCATTACTCAATAGAATCTCCCTTTTGGAACGACAACGCTCCATACTTTAAAAAAAGTTATTATTGAAATACATTTGACATATAACATTGTGTAAATTTAAGGCATGTAACGTGTTAATTTGATACACTTGTATATGGTAACGATTGTCATTGTAGCAATGATTACCACCTCTGTCGTGTTACTTAATTATCCTTCTTTGGCGGATGGTGAGGAGAATCAGCCATAAGCTAACATCTGTTGCCAATCTTCCTCTTTTTGCTTGAGGAAGATTGTCACTGAACTAACATCCATACCTGTCTCCCTCTATTTTGTGTGTGGGATGCTGCCACAGCATGGCTTAACGAGCAGTGTGTAGGTCCACACCTGGGAGCCGAATCTGCAAACCCCAGGCTGCTGAAGCAGAGCTCATGAACTTAACCACTACGCCACTGGGCCAGCCCCGATTATCCTTTCTTTCTTTTTTTTCTTTTCTGCTTTTTCTCCCCAAATCCCCCCAGTATATAGTTGTATATATTTTCTTAGTTGTGGGTCCTTCTAGGTGTGGCATGTGGGACGCCACCTCAACATGGCCTGATGAGTGGTGCCGTGTTCCGTGCCCAGGATCCAAACTGGTGAAACCCTGGGCCACTGAAGTGGAGCACGCAAACTTAACCACTCGGCCGTGGGGCTGGCCCCCTATCCTTTCTTTTTAGTGGTTGGACAAAGCTCCAATCTTGTGAAAGGATGTCACTGACTGTCGTTAGACTCCGAAGCCCATAAGCACGTGGTTGGAAGCATTCAGACCCTCATATCCTCTTCCTGAGACCCAGGACTCCAATCTCCAGTCCCTCCACTCTCAGAGCAGGAGTCTGGGCCCCCAGTCCTTCCTCCCACAGACCAGGCTGTCCTGGTTCCCACTCCCCTGTTCTCCCGAGACCCAGATGTCCAGCCCTCTGATCCCTCAGGGCCCAAGAGTGCCATCCTAGCACCAGTTACACCCCCAGGGTGCAGGATCCCTTCCCCTAGCCCTGAGGACCGAGATGTCTTCCTATTCCTAGTGCTAAACGAACCCAGAAAACTACATCTCCCATGAGGCTGTGGGTCTGCAGTGTCACTAAAAAGAATCCCACTATTGAGGTACCCCTGAGAAATGGTTCCACAACACTAACTGGAGGTTAGAGGCGGGGATGGGGTGGTGGAGATAACAAGCTCTGTCCTGTCAAAGGTCAGGGATAGTCCAGAGTCCCCGGGGACACTTTAGCGGAACAGAAAACTGAGGCTCAGGGGGAGGCTGGGACCTTCCAGCAGCCTTACAGCAACAGGGGGCAGAGGGACTTTGGGGATCAATGAGGAACAAGGAGAAAGATCCCATTTCTTCCCTCAAACACACGTGCTCACTCTGATCCTCCTCTCAGACTCTTTATTATCCCAAGTAAGAAAAATAAAAAAATAAATAAGATAAATAACCCAATAAATAAAGAGGAGACCCAGTAATAAACAGCCTGTGGCTTCAGGAAGTGTAGCTGGGGCTCCGGCCGCGTGAAGGCCCCACCATGCTCAGGGGGTCCGAGGAGCCCACGTCCGGAGGCTCGGGGGCCGGGATCCCTGGAGGCTCCGGGGGTGCTGGGGGAAAGCCTGGCAGCGGCAGGAAGCGGGCGGGTGCCCGAGGGGCCGGATCCCGGTATGGGGAGCTGTGGTGGGGCAGGCGGAGTGGGAGGCCAAGGGTCTCAGACTGGTAAACGTTGTAGCCGTCTTCGAGAAGCAGCTCCCGGAAGCTGCAGGCCACGGGGTCGAAGTGGAGCTGAGGGGACAGGAGCAGAGATCGGAGACATGAGATTCCTCTGCATCTTGCTGCCGCAGGACCCAGGAGTCCAGGCCCCCCACCCCCTCCTCCAGGACACAACAGGGTCAGGCTCCTCCTTTACGCCAGCGCAGTCTTGCAAGGCCCACCTTCCTGTCCCCACTTCACAAAGAGGAACATTCCAGCCCAGGGACAGGTCAAAGCTAAGGCCAAGCAGAGGTGTCTGGCTACCACCCAGGGTCTTGGTGACTTTACAGGCCGTCGGTTCCCTGAGTGACCCCATGCCCAGCATGAGCCAGACTCCCAGGAGCACGTGTGGTCAGCAGCGGTGGCTAGTTACAAGACTTGGCATCTCAGGCCACTCTGCCATTCACGGCCTCGTGACTTGGAGCTGGTCATGTCCCTGCCTGAGCCTCAGTTTACTCTTCTTGCAAACATTGCTAACAACAGCTCCTGCCTCCAGGGGTTTCGGTGAGGTTGAGGCGCACAGATAGCATAGAGCCAAGTGTGGCCTGGGGCCACAGGTGCGAGATGTGGTACCCCAGATTGCGAAGATGGTTGGAGGAAGGGTGGAGTGCAAGAAGGGGGTCCCAGAAACTCACCGATCCGTACAGCGTCCCGTCTGGCCCCTGGCACAGAAACCTGGATGTCTTGACTCCCAAGATTTGAATTACCCCTGGCTTCAGGGCTTTCAGCTCCAAGAGACCTGAGGGGAGAAAGTGGTCAGGGGTTCAGAGGGCCTTATCCCAGTCCCTCTGCCCTCAGACTCAGGACTTCAGGCTCCCAGCTCTCTCCTCTTCCAGACCCCGCTTTCAGCCCCTCCTCCCTCAGAACTGGGAGTCCAGACCCCCAGCCCCTCCTCCCTCAGACTAAGGAGTCCAGACCCCCAGCCCCTCCTCCCTCAGACCCAGGAGTCCAGCCCCAGCCCCTCCTCCCTCAGACCCAGGAGTCCAGCCCCAGCCCCTCCTCCCTCAGACCCAGGAGTCCAGGCCCCCAGCCCCTCCTCCCTCAGACCCAGGAGTCCAGGCCCCCAGCCCCTCCTCCCTCAGACCCAGGAGTCCAGCCCCCAGCCCCTCCTCCCTCAGACCCAGGAGTCCAGCCCCAGCCCCTCCTCCCTCAGACCCGGGGGTCCAGGTCCTCAGCTCTGTCCTCCCTCAGACCCAAGACCCTGGGGCCCCAACCCCTCCTCCTTCAGGATTCGGCCCTTCCCCCACACTCACTTTCTGGGCTCCGGTGGACAGCCCCTGCCACAGTGCCGTCAGCCCTGATCTCCAGGTGCGCCTCTGTCTCCTGGGCATCATCTGTGTAGAGGTGGCGCTGCCTGACTTGGCCCCCGAATTGGAGGAGGGGACTGGAGTCAGGGATGGGGTGTGACTGGCAGGCTCCCAGCAGAAGGACAGCCAGCACAGGGACCCACAGTCCCTGGTACTTGAACCCCGTCTTGTCCCAGTCCATCAGTGGCTCACGTCCTCGGGCGAGGTCTGGGGTCTAGGGTTTGAAGAGCTGGACGCTGTAGAATCTGTTTCAGGTCCTGGGTGTCTGGGAAAGCAGATCCCGGATTGCCGCTCAGACAGCCAAGTGCCTGGGTCCTCTTGCACCTGGACTCCCAGTTGAGAGGACAGCCAAGTCTCTCGGGATGGATGCAGAAGCTCAGGAATTTATATCCGGACAGACCCGCCCAATCACCTTCCCTGTGCCTGACCCATGATATTTGACCCACTTGGCAGGAGCTAGGATTCCACCGTGGCCAGGGCAGCCAGAACGGATGATGCAATCAGGGGGTCCTTCCAGCTGGGGGCCTGGACTCCTGGGTCTGAGGGAGGAGGGGCTGGGGCCCAGACTCCTGGGTCTGAGGGAGGAGGGGCTGGGGGTCCAGACCCCTGGGTCTGAGGGAGGGGCTGGGGGCCCAGACTCCTGGGTCAGAGGGAGGAGGGGCTGGGGGCCCAGACTCCTGGGTCTGAGGGAGGAGGGGCTGGGGCCCAGACTCCTGGGTCTGAGGGAGGAGGGGCTGGGGGTCCAGACCCCTGGGTCTGAGGGAGGGGCTGGGGGCCCAGACTCCTGGGTCAGAGGGAGGAGGGGCTGGGGGCCCAGACTCCTGGGTCTGAGGGAGGAGGGGCTGGGGGCCCGGACTCCTGGGTCTGAGGGAGGAGGGGCTGGGGGCCTGGACCCCTGGGTCTGCAGGAGGGGGCTGGAATGTTAGAAAACCACCTGACGCAGACCTTGTCCCATCCCTGGAATTTCTGCATTCCACCTGAATTTGTAGGTGTCTGGGGGTCACCGAGGTTCCCTGATCATCAGGAAAGCAGCAACTGCTACATGACCAAGTGTCCTCCACAGGGACACAGGTGTCCTGCCTGGAAGCCTCTCGCTGACCTCGAGCCAACCTCAGCCTCACTAACCCCTGGCCAGACACCCAAGGTCCAGGCCTCCTCCTCCTTCCTGATGCAATCCTGGTGTTTCTTTCACCAGAGAGGCTACCACAGGTCCAGACAGATGCTCCAAAAATAGCTTGGGAGTTGCGGGAGGGAGCGAGGATGAGTCTCTGATTCAGAGCCGGCGGCTGAGCCAGGCTCTTGAGGAGGCTGAGGAGCAAGTTAGACCCAAGAGCCCAAAGGGAATGTGGGTGGGCTATTTCCGGGAACCTACAGGCTCAGAGACTGGTCACCTGGGTCTGAGAGGGGAGGGGGCTGGGGGCTGGGTTTCCTGCGTTTGGAGAAATTGTGGTCAAGTCTCTGATGCGTGAAGTCGGATTCCAGAGTCTTTGACTTTGGTTGATTGAATGACAATGGTCGGAGTGCTCGGCTGGGTGGGTGGAGGGGGGAGGGTCCAGCACCACGGGAACAGCCTCAGGTCTGCCGGGAGGGAGGCGTCTGTCCTGCGCCGGCAGCTGAAACCTCCGCGGGAGGCAGGGAAGGCCGGCTCTCTTCCACTCCGGCTTTCTTCAGTCCTGTCTTCGGCAAAGGCTGCCTTGGCCACGTGCCCGTCTAGAAAGTAGTAGTCAGGCGCGAGATCCTGGAATCCCCCCAAAGGAGAGTCGGGGGGCCGGGACCCTCGAATTTGCGGGTGGGCGGGGCAGATCTGGGGGTCGGCTGCCCTCGGGGGGCGCCGGGACAGCTTCGGGCTGGAGGCCGTCACGCTGGGACCCTGAGAGCTGGAGGGAGTTTTCCCTCCGCTCCTGGAGCAGCCTGGCAAACAGGTTCTCCATCTCCCCCGGGAGGACGCGGCAGGGGGCGGGGGACCTCCCTCCCCGCCGGGACCAGGTGTCCCGGCCCTTCCCAGCGGCTGGGGCGTGGCCGGGCTCTGCGCACCCAGATGCACAGGGCAGACCGGAACACCTGGGTCCAGCACTGCAGCTGGGCGCTGGATCTCCGTGTCCATGGAAGGATGCGGCCAGGTGGGCTGCCCCGGGCGGAGCCTCCTCGCAGGCCAATGCCGGCGAGGAGGGGGTGTGTCGCGGTCCCCGGGTCTAGGGAGGGCCGAGGGCGGGGGCTAGCACCCTGGCTAGGGGCCCCAGGACTCGGCGGCAGGGAGGGGGCGGGGCTCCGCCTCGGAGCTATCTGCCTGCCCTGGAGGGCGGAGGCTGTTAATACCGGACCTCGCCCCGCTCTCCATCCTCCCCTCCCCGAGCCCTCGCAGCCAGTCCCGGGAGGCGGCGTGGAGGGGAGGGCTGCTGGGCCCGGGAACCTGGAGTCCCAGGTTCCGCGAGAGGCCGTATGTGGGCCGCCCTGGCAGACCGCTCGCTCCAGCCACGCCAGGCCGTCTGTGGATCTGCCACCCGGCAGGAGCTCAGGTGAGTGGGAGCTGCGGATGCCTCCGACCCAGCAATCGGGGCTTTCAGTCCCAGGAGGTGCGCCCCCAACTTCTAACCCCCTACGACCCGACCAGTCTCCTTCACCGCCAACCCACAACTCCTGCCCCTCCAGGAAACGAGATCCCTCCTGGAGTCCTGGGCCTACAAGCCTGGCAAGTTGTTCTTGGCCTGTTGCTTCCCGGCACGTCAGTGGTGGACTCTGCCCTTCATACACAGGTACACCTGAGACAGGACTTGATGGAACACTGTCCAGCTTCAGTGCGCCTCTCAGGCCCAGAGAAGGAGGCGCCAAGATGAGGCGCCGGATCCCGGACCACTGCTGTCTTGGAAACCACCAATTTTCCCTCGTCTCCCATCCCTGTCCCCCCAAATTCCAAGCCCCCAGCTTCTCCTCCCTCAGATCCAGGAGTCCTAGACTCTGATCCCCTTTCCCCTCGGACCCAGGGGCCTGACCCCTTAGTTTCCTCGTTCCTTCAGGCGTCTGCTCTCTGACATTACTTCTCAGGCTCCCAGCATCTGCTAATTCAACTCTCCTCCCCTGCAGCCATGTGGGCCCCCAGCCGACGTCATCTCTGTCTCATCTTCCTGCTAGTCTGTGTTCTTTCCTCAATCGCCTTCCTCTACGTCCACCAAGGCCTCTTTCACGACGGTGTAGACCTGTTTGCCCTGTGTCCATCCCACCACCTTGGGACACCTCATGTGGCCATCTTCTGCCTGTCGGGCACAACGATGACTTCCAACGCCTCCCTTTCCTGTCCCCAGCAGCCTGCCTCCCTCACAGGAACCTGGACCATCCACCCAGACGGCCGATTTGGTAACCAGATGGGGCAGTATGCCACGCTGCTGGCCCTGGCCCAGCTCAACGGCCGCCAGGCCTTCATCCTGCCCGCCATGCATGCCACCCTGGCCCCCGTGTTCCGCATCACCCTGCCTGTGCTGTCGCCCCAGGTGGACAGCCAGACGTCCTGGCTGAAGTTGCAGCTGCATGACTGGATGTCGGAGGAGTACGCCCGCGTGGAGCATCCGGTGCTGAAACTCACCGGCTTCCCCTGCTCCTGGACCTTCTTCCACCACATCCGGGAACAGATCCGCAGCCAGTTCACCTTGCACGACCACCTGCGGCAAGACGCCCAGGGTTTCCTGAGTCAGCTCCGCCTGGGCCGCACGGGGGGCCGGCCGAGCACCTTTGTGGGTGTCCATGTGCGCCGAGGGGACTATCTGCAGGTTATGCCCCAGCTCTGGAAAGGCGTGGTGGGCGATCGCGCCTACCTCCAGCAGGCTATGGACTGGTTTCGGGCGCGGCATGAAGCTCCCATCTTTGTGGTCACCAGCAACGGCATGGATTGGTGCCGGCAAAACATTGACACCTCCCGGGGGGACGTGATCTTTGCTGGCAACGGGCTGGAGGCCTCGCCCGGGAAGGACTTTGCGCTGCTCACGCAGTGCAACCACACCATCATGACGATTGGCACCTTCGGCTTCTGGGCCGCCTACCTGGCTGGTGGGGACACCGTCTACCTGGCCAATTTCACCCTGCCTGACTCGAACTTCCTGAAGATCTTTAAACCGGAGGCTGCCTTCCTGCCGGAGTGGGTGGGCATTAACGCAGACTTGTCTCCCCTCCGGACACCGGCCGGGAGACTTCTTGGAATAGCCTGATCAATCAAGGGCCAGCGCTATGGGTCTCTGGAGGCCTAGCAGCTTCCAGAGCTGGCTAGACTTTGAAAGAAAGGAGGGCTTTCTGCAACTGCCTGAACATTCGAGAACCATCCGAAGATCTATTCCTGATGGCTGGCTGTGTCTGGAGAAACTCATGGCAGTTTTAGAAGGCACAGTGCCCACCTGCTCTTCCCAGCCCCTCCCCAGGTACTTCTACATGGCTGTCCCCCAGGAACAGGGGACTCCCCCCTCTAGTTGACCACCTTGGACGTTTCTAGAACAGCTGTTTCTCCTCCCCTGGAGTATTGAAGGAATTCAGCGGTGTTCCAGAGCAAGTGCTCACCAGCTCCCTCTCTGTATTTCTGGGGTGCTGTTAGAGGGGAGACTTAGAGAGGACCAACTGGAACCCTACAGGGCCCTTCCAGAGGGCATGGGCTTCTGGAATCCAGACAACTTCAGCAAAGAATCTAATGAAGGTACAACCAGAAGCTCAGCATATCACCACTGCCAGAAAGATTGATGGAAGACAGACTGTCTGTAGCTGGGGCAGTTGGTGAGCAGAATGCAACTCTATCCCACCTCTGCCCCTGAACAAACCACAAAGACTTTTTTTGGGAAGTAGAGAGGCTAAAAATGTGGCAAGTGAGGGACAGGGATGGCTGCGGAAGCGCTGCAGCTTCTGGTGCAAGGCTTTCCAGAAATTCAGGGACATGTTTTTTTTCTTGGTGAGGAAGATTAGCCCTGAGCTAACATCTGTTGCCACCTTCCCTCTTCTTGATTGAGGAAGATCATTGGTGAGCTAACATCTCCGGCAATCTCCCTCCACTTTGTATGTGGGATGCCGCCACAGCATGGCTTGAGAGCTGCGTAGGTCCATGCCCAGCCCGGACGGGGCGGGCACGGTGAACTCCAGGCAGCTGAAGCGGAGCCCACAAGCCCAACCACTACACCACTGGGCCGGCCCCAGAAAACTTTTTTTTAAGCTCAAAAACTGCCAAAGACAGGCATGCACATGTTGGCTGTGAGTTGGGGTTGCCCCTCCCCATTTAAGCTGGGCTGCTGGGGGGGATGGGATAGATTTTTCTGGAAGTCAGCAGGTCTAAAGGCTTCCGGGCTTGCAGAAATCCCTGGAATTGTGCCCCTTGGCAATCATTGTCTGCCCCAGACTTCACAGAACCACTAAATCTGGCTTTGGGCAAGTCAAGGATGAAAGGATCCAAAGGGATGCAGACCTGACGATTGGCCGCAGACCCAGGCAGGAGCACAGGGTCTGGACAAGGAGATTGGAATTCTTGACTCAGATTTCAGGAGCCCCTCGGTGCTTTTTGAAGGGGTTAAAGGTACATACTTTTATTACAGTTTTGTGTAGGAATCTTAGCCCCTTTTCTAATTTTCTCAGGGAGTTTTGGGGGGCCATTCCCTACTCAGCTGCCATAGGTGGGAGAGATGGAGGTATGTATTAAAAGTCCACCTCACCAACTCCTGTGTCTGCGTTTTTTGGAGTCTTGTGTGCACGAGCGTGTGCGTCAGCGAGTGAGCAGGGGGAAAGGTGGGGAACTTCCGGGGACTCTCAGGAGTCATGTCTTGGGGTACTGTCCCTGCCCAGATCTGGCAGCCTCTTGTTGCCGGACTTGTGTGACTTGTGGTCTCTGAGCCCCAGTTCCTTTCGTCGGGACTCGCAGACCCTCTCTTCCTGTGAGACCTTGGCATCCAGTCCCAGAAACTGGGGAGAGAAAGTGGAGGCGGGGGTGGGGGGGGGGGCGGGGGGGTGGGGTGGGCAGCGTATCATTTTTGAACTACATTTCCCATGGAGCTATGGGGTTGGCTGCGGTAATCAGTAAGGGAGAGACCCCGGGGCCTTCTGGGAGTCGTAGTCCTAGGGCTAGAAAGGGCCATTTCCCTCGTCTTTGTGTCTCAAAGCCGCTGTTTCCTAAGGGCGGTGGGCATGTAACCCGAAGCCTGGGTCCTAGAGCCCAGGAACAGGAGCAAGCTGAAGGCCAGAAGCCCGTTCCTTGGCCTTGGAAAGTTAGAGCAGACAGGGTACTTCCCACTCTGTTGATGCTGGGAAAGTTCTAGTCTGAAACAGCGGTCGCTTCTGTGACATCATAGAGTGATAGGCGGGGCCTCCTTTTGTTGGGGTCCAATCAGACTCGGAGTTGAGCTTCTGGGCGGGTCCAAGGGAACCCTAGGGAATATCTCTGGGGAATTCGGTCCCTTGTGGGAAGCTAGAAGGCGGAGGCTGTGGGAGTGCCTTGTAGACAGGAGCTAACCGTGACTCCGATCTCAGTCAAAAGTCCCCTATACCACGCAACCAACCTCGCCGTCGCCCCCTGGATCCTTACTTTGAGTGGTGGGAAAATAGAATGGAAGGACGTGGCGCGGTGGTCTAGGGCTCTCCAGCGAACCCTAGTGTTTGAGGGTACAACAGTCAGGAGTCAAGGTCGGGCAGCGGCTGTTTAGGGTGCATCGGGACTCCTCAGTTCCCTAAGGAGAAGGGTGCACCCTGCAAATCGCGGGTCCGTGTCTCAGGGAGGGGCTTCTCTCGGTTTGGCGCTCACCTCCTCTGGGTTTGGGGTGAGAAGACCCTCCCCCGGGGTGTGCGCGGGCTGCGCGCTCTGGCGGCGATGGGGCCGCGGCTTCCTTTACTGGTGGCGGCGCTGGCCGGCTGTCTGCTTTCTGCGCGGGGCTGTGTCACGTGTGATTCAGAGGTCATGGAGGCGCTAAACTCCTTGGAGAAGGATTACCTGCCTGGCCACCTGGCGCCCGAGCATCACGAAAACGTGATGAAAAGGGTAAAGGAGGCCGTGCAGAATTTCAAGGAACTGCCGTTTGACGAGGATTCCTATATGGGGGTCGTCGGTGAGGGCAGGGCGGAGCGCGGACTTTTGGGACCTGGGAAAGGAGGGGTCTTGGGCTAGGATTGCTGGGCGCACGGGGGAAAGGGCTGGAGGTGTGGACTCCTGGGTTCGGGAATGAAGAAGCCTGGGATGCAGATGCCGGCGTTCTCCAGGGCCAGCAAATACCGCGTTCCCTTACCCTTTAGCAGCAATTTTGTGCAATAAAACTACAACTCCCAGAAGGCAACGGGCGGGTAATCCCTTAACCAGGCCTATTCTTGCCCAGTGGCCCCATGGGTATTGTAGTTTCTAAGACTAGCCGAGCGAATGAGACAGTAACGCTGGAGTCTGGGGTTCTATCTCCCCCCACAGATGAGCCCACACTGAAAAAGGCATCCTGGAATTTGCTGAAGGATCTGAAACGCATCACGGAAAGTGATGTAAAAGGTAAATGCACAGAGTCGCCAGGGGAGGGCTGCAGAATCTCTCAGCGAAGTAATCGCTGGTGCCACCTGGTGGTCAGGTACTGGGCTCTGGAGCCAGACTGCCTGCGTTCAAATTCTGGCGCTGTCACTTTCTAGCTTTGTGGCCTTGAGCGAGAGATTTCGCAGCTTCTTCATCTCTAAAATGGAGACCATAATAGTGCCTTCATCCCAGTTCTTGCTTAGTCCGGTGGCCAGCATTACGTTAAATGGTCATCCATTTTCACTATTCTTCTCTGAGAAGGCCCAAAAGCAGAATGCCAGGCTTTGCAGACAGAGGCAAACTTCCTGTACCTCACGCCTGGGACAGGCGGGGAGAGGGGTGGGGGGGTGCGGGGGGGTGGACCACTCTGCGTCATCCTGCTTCTTCCTAGGTGAGCTCTTCGTGAAGGAGCTGTTCTGGATGTTGAGCCTGCAAAAGGACACCTTTGCCAGTTACGCTGCTCACTTTCAAAAAGAGGGTGAGGGAAAACCGGAAGCCGGCAACCCAGCCTCCTTCCACAGCCCAGCTGTCCCTGTCCCCAGCCGCTTGCTTTTCCGAGTCCGATCTCTCAGCTCTCCCAACCCTCTCCTCCCTCAGACCCAGGGGTCCAGGCACCCGGGTCCTTCCTCCCTCAAACCCAAGAGCCCCCAGCCTCTTCCTTCGCCCCCTCTGTCATCCGCTTTGACTTAGAAATCTGATTCTCATTTTTTTCTCTTTCTTCCGAGGCAGATTTTTGTCCCAACAAATGTGGTGAGTCTGGATTCTGGGCGTTGGTCCTCTGTCCCTCATCCCTGCCCCGTGAAAACCCAGCCTTTCGCCTGCCCCTTTGGACTCTCGGTGTTTCTACATTCTCCGCGTCTAAGAGGTTCCTGGGTCTCCAGGATTCCTTCCGCACCTCGGACTTCTCGGGGAGCGGGTGACATTCTGTCGGCACTCGGAACTGAGGCTGGTTAGATCCGGCTTCCTCCAGGGCTGCGTTCTAGCCCCGCCCCTCGGACTGACCTCCCGGGGCTCGGGCACAGGGCCCCGCCCCAGCCCTTGGCCCTGCCCTCTCCTTTTAGCCCCGCCTCTTAGTGGGCGACTCCAGCCTTGACGCTGTGCCTTCAGGTATGATGCTACAGACTCTGATCTGGTGCAGTAACTGTGAGAAGCAGGTTCACGCTTGTCGAAAGTCCACGGACTGCGGGGGTGAGAGCTGGGCCCAGCAGGGGGGGCTTGGCGCGAGAGGGGCGGAGCCAGAGGGGAGACTGAGTCTAGAGTGGGCGGACACCGGGGCCAGCAGACAAGAGAAGGCGGGCCGAGACCGAGTGGAAGAGGGTTGGGGAAGGGCCAGGAAGCGTGAAGGAACATGCCACAGTAACCCTTTATCCCCAGAGCGTCAAGTCAAGGTCCATCGAAAGGAGGACATGATTCTGGACTGTGAACTCAACTGGCATCGTGCCTCTGAAGGCCTGACCGATTACAGCTTTTACAGGGTGGGGCCCTCCAACTCCTGTAACCCTTAAACTCCAAGTCCAGCAGGCCTGTGTGAGCCCCCTGGCCCCTGTATCCACAGGCCTGCCCCCACCACCCCCATGACCCGTGACTCACCAGGTTTGGCTTCTATCGACCCCCTGGGGACCCCATGCCCTGACTAGTACACCCTGGACTCGCATCTCCCCCACCGAGGCCCTGTGATCTTCTCACCCCTGGACTCCCCCGACCCCTGAATTCCCCAGGCCTCTGTGACCCCTTGAGCTTGGGTCTAGGTTTGGGGGAAGAATGATGAGACCTTGGTGTCCAAGGGGAAAGAGCCCACTCTGACCAAGACCATGGTGGGTCCTGAGGATCAAGGCACCTACCGCTGTGAGCTGGGCACCGTGCAATCCGACCCAGCCACGATCATCTATTTCCACGTCACAGGTCCGGGCTGGGCAGTTGAGAGTCAGTCGTGGGATTCAGGGTCTTGGGGTTGGGGGCTGTCAACTTTAGAGGCGTGGCCTATGGGGGCATAACTTCCTGTCGGGGTGTGGCTTCCTGCCCTGGGTGTGGCCTCTAGCGGTGTTAGCAGGCTTCCCTCTGGCTGTGTTCGGGCTTCACGCAATTGCAGGCGGGATTTTCTCCTGGAGGGCCTGGGGCTTGAGGCGGGATGAGGTGGGGAGAACTGGCCTTGGCCCTGGCGGGACCTCCGCGCCCTCCCAGGACTGGGCCTTCCTTCTTTTCCATCAGTGTTGCCCCAAAGAGTGGAGGAGGAGATACCGTCACCAGACATCCCAAACCAGGGTGAGGTGACTTTGGGTCACCCCCAGTCGAACACAAGCCTCCAGTATCCGCTGTCCCAGTCTCCGAATCCTGTGAAAATGCTGAGAGGCCGCCTGCTCGGGCTGCTGATCTGGGGCTGTGTGGTGCTGATCGCCGGCGCTGCCACCGTGTGAGCCGCCCGCTGAAGAAGCCAGGGCTTGGGGTGAGGGGCGGGGTTTCCATCGACCTAAAGCCGCACGGGTTCTGGGAGCTTCGGAAGTCTGTGAGCTGAACTTCCGCTGGGGATGGGGCTTCGAAACAGGGCGGGGCTTACCTAGGGCACGGTGCGGGGCTTACCTAAGGAATGGGGCGGGGCTTACCTAAGGGAAGGGGCGGGGCTTACCTAGGGCATGGTGCGGGGCTTACCTAGGGATGGGGCGGGGCTTACCTAAGGGATGGGGCGGGGCTTACCTAGGGATGGGGCGGGGCTTATCTAAGGGATGGGGCGGGGCTTACCTAGGAGGGCTAAACTTGGGTAACGACGACTAGGATAAAGTCCAATATCGGGAAGCTGGGAGGGCTATTGCTCACTGGGTTGGGACCTAACCTGGTTCCACTATTTGCACTCCCACCCTCCTCCAGGATATTTTGCTCTCGTTCTGGGAAGATGCTTGATTCTATAAAGTCCTGGTTTGACACGGGCACTGAAGCTGCTCAACACCCCGAAGTTCCAGAGGGAAAGTCATGAAATCAAGGAGCAAATAAAGATTTATCTGGTTGTTTAAGTATCTGACTCCCTCCTCGGGTCTCATCCTAATTTTCCCTTCCTCCAGAGGAGAGAAGTCTGGGCATGGCCTCCTGCCTGAGGAAGGAGAGGCTGGGAGCCGGGGGCCCCCCGGGTCCTGGAAGAGACTCACAGGCTGGGATATAAATTCCAGAATCAAGGAGTGGGGCAGGGCCAGCCCTACCCAGATCTCCTCCCCCAGGCCCGGTCCGCTCACAGGACGCCCCCTCCCCGCTCTTCCTGCCGGGTTTCCTCTCGCCTTTTCCTGTCCCCCACCCAGTGCCAGGAGCCGGGGCAGAGGCTGAACAGGAGCGGTGGGGTCAGGAACCAACCCAGGCCAGCGGAGCCAGGGCCCCCGGGTGCTGCGGGGACCCGAAGCAGGGTAAGACCCTGGGGCCCAGGAGTTCAGACCCCTCCTCCCTCAGACCCTTGAGTCAGTCCCCAGCTACCTCCCATCCCAGCACCCAGGAGTCCAGGCTCCCATCCCTCTCCTTCACCCCAACTCAGCAGTCTGAGCCCCAGCCCTTCCTCCCTGACTCAGGGGTCCAGGTCCCCCTCCACCCATCCCCACCATTCGGGGCCTCAGGAGTTGGGGCCTCGCTCACCCTCCTTTAGGGCCATGCTATCTGGTGAACGGAAGGAGGGCGGAAGCCCCCGCTTCGGGAAACTCCATCTCCCGGTGGGCCTGTGGATCAATTCTCCCAGGAAGCAGCTGGCCAAGCTGGGGCGGCGCTGGCCCAGCGCTGCCTCTGTCAAGTGAGTGCCCAACTCCTCGAGACCCCCACCTACCTCTCATCTGTCCTTGTTTATGACCCCGTCTTTGCACTGGGTAATGCCAGGGACCCTGAAAGGGTTGGCTCCTGTTCCTGATCTGAATGGGCAAGCAAGCTGGCGCACATTGCGAGGGGCGGGGAGGGGGCACACATTGGGCCACAGCGATATAAGGCCTGGTGGGGGAAGTGCTGGGACTGGTTAGGCCGGATGGACACAGGGATGGGGACATAGGAGCAGTGCTTTGATTTACCTTCCTTCCCTGCCTGCTCAACTCTTGAAACTTCCTTCTGTGGGACTTACCTTTATTTATTTATTTTCTCTCTTTTTGCCTCTGCCTACCCCCCAACTCTTTACACCCCGTGTCTCTTGCTCTTCTGTGCGTCTCTGTCGCCCTCTCTCTCTAAATCTCTGTTGCCTTCTCTCTCTGGGTCTCTGTCTCTCCTTCTCTGGGTCTCTGTCTCCTCCATCTGGGTCCGTGCCCACCTCCCTCCTACTGTAACCCCCACCCCCGTCTCTGCGTGCCTTTCTGGGTCCCTCTCCCGCGCCTCTGCTCCCGGGCGGTCTCCCAGGTCTTCGTCTTCCGACACGGGGAGCCGCAGCAGCGAGCCGCTGCCTCCGCCGCCGCCGCCGCACGTGGAGCTGCGGCGAGTGGGCGCGGTCAAGGCGGCCGGGGGCGCCTCGGGGAGCCGCGCCAAGCGCATCTCCCAGCTCTTTCGAGGCTCCGGAACCGGGGCCACGGGGTCCGGCGGCGCGGGAGGCCCCGGGACTCCGGGGGGCGCGCAGCGCTGGGCCAGCGAGAAGAAGCTGCCGGAGCTGGCGGCGGGCGTGGCCCCCGAGCCCCCTCTGGCCACCCGCGCCACAGCGCCCCCCGGGGTCCTCAAGATCTTCGGCGCGGGGCTGGCGTCGGGCGCTAACTACAAGAGCGTGCTGGCCACGGCGCGCTCCACGGCGCGCGAGCTGGTGGCCGAGGCGCTGGAGCGCTACGGGCTGGCCGGCAGCCCCGGCGGCGGCCCGGGCGAGAGCGGCTGCGTGGACGCCTTCGCGCTGTGCGACGCGCTGGGCCGGCCCGCGGCGGGCGGCGCGGGCAACGGCGAGTGGCGGGCGGAGCACCTGCGCGTGCTGGGCGACGCGGAGCGCCCGCTGCTGGTGCAGGAGCTGTGGCGGGCGCGGCCCGGCTGGGCGCGGCGTTTCGAGCTGCGCGGCCGCGAGGAGGCGCGTCGCCTGGAGCAGGAGGCCTTCGGGGCAGCGGACAGCGACGGTGAGCAGTCCTGGGGCCCCTGGGGGCGGGGCCGGCGGCGCGGGGCCTGCGGGAGGGTTGGGCTGGGGCTTGGGGGCGGAGCCAGGTGGGACCAGAAGGCGGGCTGGAGGCGGGGCCCGCGAAGACTGGGCGGGACCTATAGGCCTTGGGTCAAGTGGTGGGCGGAGCTAGGGCAGGGTTGGGTCAGCCAGATGGGCTGGGCCAGAGGATGATGCCCTTGGGGTACGTGCAGAGCCCCTGGCCCGGGCCGATGATGCTGGGGCGGCGCCTGTGGAATACAGTAGCCCAGAGCAAGAGGCGTTGGGTGGGGCAGATGCGTGCGGGCACGGATCCCTGGGGCAAGAGACCTCCCAGAGCAGTGGGTTGAAGCGGTTAGTGAGGGGCAGGGCCTATGTGGATGGAACCTAGGAGGGGGAGAGCAGAGTTGGGCTGCTAGATCAGGACCTAAGAATGGCAGAGCATCAGAGGGGCGGACTTTGGAGCAGGTGCCACGGGCTGGGTTGGCTCCAACGTGTGAACGGGGCTTGAGGGTGGCGCATGGGAAATGAAGAGGCGTTTGCAGAGGCCCAGGAAAGTTGTGCTCATCTTTGGCTTGGTCTTTGAGAAGGCCCGGCCTGGATCAGGAGGTGGCGCCACTGGTGAAATAGCAAGTGCTGGGCAGAGCCTGGCAGGGGTGGTGCCTGGCTCACAGGGCTAGGGGCCTGCTCAGGGAGCCCTCGAACCACTTTTCTGTTTCAGAGTCTCCTTTTTGGAGATAGAATGGTGTAGCAGTTAAACTCACGGGCTTTGAACTCAGACTTGGATTCTGATCCGTTCTTAGCCAGTTAAACTCAGCAGATTCCTAGATGAAAATTCAATGAGATAATCCATATAAAGGATTTTAGCACAGGGCTTGGCACATTGCTTAATTAAGAATGGCAATTATAGCCATCATTATCTTTTTTTTTCCAAAAGGCATTCATTGAGTGCCTACTGTGGGCCACACATTATTTAGGGACCTGGAGGAATATGTGGGGACATTGACAGGTGAAGTTCCCACCCTCCTAAATTTCCAGCCTAGTGAGAAACACATCAGTTCATTGGTTCAGCTCATTTCCACTAGGCACCTACTATGTGCCAGGGCTTTTCTGGGCCCAGACAAAGCCCAGAGTGCCCAGTGGGGCCATGCTCTGCTTCAACTTGGAAAGTCAGGGAAGGGTGTTCAGGTGGAGGTGGTTTATATTTCCCTGGGGGCAGGGTCTTCTCTGTTCACTGCAAAGTCCCTAGTGCCTAGAACTGTGCCGGGCACATAGTAGGTCCTCAAGAAATAGTATTTGAAAGAATGAATTAATTTCTGAGCTGAAAATGGCAAGACGGGTAGGAGTCACGCGGAAAGTGTGTTCCAGAACAGAGAACAGCATATGCAAAAACGTGCATGTGGGAAGCAGCCTCACCTCTCTGTAGTCAATTCTCGGTCTCTGTAATCTCCAGCTCTCTCAGTCTGTCTGTCTCTTGTCTCTTTCCGGTCTCCACCTCACCGCTCTCCATCTCTCTCCGCAGGCACGGGCGCCCCCTCGTGGCGGCCACAGAAGAACCGCTCCCGGGCGGCGTCCGGGGGGGCGGCGCTGGCCAGTCCTGGCCCCGGGTCCGGGTCAGGGCCCGCGGCTGGCTCCGGGGGCAAGGAGCGCTCGGAAAACCTGTCCCTGCGGCGTAGCGTGTCCGAGCTCAGCCTGCAGGGTCGGCGGCGGCGGCAGCAGGAGCGCAGGCAACAGGCCCTTAGCATGGCCCCAGGGGCAGCCGACGCCCAAATCGGACCTGCAGACCCCGGTGACTTCGATCAGTTGACTCAGTGCCTCATCCAGGCCCCCAGCAATCACCCCTACTTTCTGCTGCTCCAGGGCTACCAGGACGCCCAGGTGAGAGCAGCCTGTCCTAGCGGGAGAGCCCAATGCCCCATCCTTTGGTTGAAGGGCGACAAAACTACAACTCCCAGAATTCCTTGAGTCGCGGTGGTCTCAGGTATGCTGGAAGGCGTGGTCCCAGCAGGTTGCAGAGTGGGAGATAGCATTGTCAGAGACGAGAGAGGTGTTAGTGGAGGACAGATGCCTGAGAAAGATTCTATTGGAGGGACAAGTAGGGACTGGTTCCTTTCATTCATAGCTGAGGGAAAGCACTGTCTTCGCGTCAAGAGATAGTGGGCGAGCCTATTGTAGAAAGGCGATCTCCTTGGAAGCATCTGTTTCTTGAGGTGGAGGTAACGGGAGAGTCTGTCTTCTAGGGGAGGGAGACAATTTGATTGGTGCCTGGGATCTCATTCTGGGTAAGCCTATATTTTCTGGAAAGGAGTCGACTAATCCCCTTTTTAAAAGTGATGGTTTACACTGGAACCATTTGACCCTTGTTGATGGGGGCAGGTGGTACTGATACTTCTATTTTACTTTTTGGGTGATAACTGGAGAAGGTGTTTGAGTGTTAGGGAGCAGAGAGGGAGAAAGCATTAGCAGTTGGGCGTCAGTGGGGAATTATTTCACCGATAGAAATGTAGTATATTATTGGAAAGACTTGTGTGCTTGGGGCAATCATCCTTACGGCTTTGTCCACCTTTGGGTAACAGTGGCACAGCCAAGCTTGATGGATACTGCTGGGATCAATGAGAAAGCCCACTCTAGAAGGTGGGGGAGCTTACTGAACAGTTCCATTTTTTGCCGTCAGAGCGGGACCCAATTGGGTCAGGTGCCTTGGCTGTGTATATGAGTGAGAGGTTAAGACTATTCAGAGAAGAGCTTGCATGGAAGAATTCATTCCTCCTTGTTGGGGCAAGGGGTCAAGGCAAGTTCATTGTCAGAAAGGGTTTGCATATATTATAACAGCCCTTTCCTCCAGACAAGGTTGGAGAATAGTAGGGTCTAATTTGGGAAGGTGGTCAAATTGAGAGGATTTATTCTGGAAGAAAAGGAGAGTCTGTTATAGGAAGAGGAGGAAACA